GTGATCGTTCCAGATTAAGTTCTTATATGCACAACCTTTTTATATGCAAGCTAACTTCACGAAATTCGGCTGAGATTATTGTAAATGGCAACGCCACAATCTCTTTACAAATGTCTGAAATGTGCTGATCGGTTCACTATAGCATGCCATGCAAACTGAGCGTTGAAAATCAAGTTAAAAATTTTTATGAAAAATCTTTTTTCCTTAAACTTAACTAAATGCGACTTGAAGGCTGTTTATATCAAACCACGTGGCTATAAAATAACAGCGAAAGCTTTTGACATATGCATATATTGTGTAGATAACACCAGTACCGCTCTTTAAATTATAGTTATAGAAAATCTTGAGCTTTTGCCAATAATTATATATATGACCAACGCAAATATACTCGTACTGCTTGTTTCACTTAATTATACGTTAACATTATATTTGACAAACCAAAAAAAAAATAAATAAAAAAATAAATGTTAGACCTAAAAGTAGTTGTGTCTGCATACTTTGTTCTCCAGTGAAACTATCATCTTACCCACCAGCGCTACCGACAGACAGACCAAACATAAGTTCCGTTCATTTGTTGTGACTTTGATGATTCAGTTTTTCTGCTCTTTTTGATTGTATTGAATTTCATTTCACATTTGCAAGTTAGATCGTGACATTTCGGCGAACAGTAGATCATTATGTACGAGTGTAAGCATAATTTTTTGCAGAGCAGCATATGATTCATGTATTCGAGAATTGATACAGCTAGTTACGAGTAATTGGGTGATCCCTTTGCTGACGTCGCGCGAACGTCCACGCATTTATGCGCTTAACTTGCAATAGTGATGAGATTCTTATGTAATCGATTATAGAACTAAATTCAAATATTTTCAGTATTAATTTTTATAGAAAAAAAAAAATAAAATAATTGATATTTTATTGCTCGCGCTTAATTAATAGTTGAGCGAGTGCTATAGTTTAAAAGCTTGAATACTTTAAAATTTATAATAAACATAAATCGCTAGCTTAGATATTAAAAAATATTGCTTTAAAAGGATTTTTCAAAATTCAAAAATTATTTTCGAAATTATAACCATTTAAGTGGCGTGGCAACTTTTGCCTTAACTTAAACTTTAAACGCGTTTTCTCTCGAAAATACTTTTTCGAAGCGGTCCTCACGATATCTCTTAAAATTTAGCAAAAATATTCTTCAAATAAATCTACCGTATGCACCTATAAAAAATGAAAATTTCTAAACTGTAATATTATAATAAAAAAACTTAAAAAAAAAATTAAAAATAAAAGTTTTTTAATCGGTTTTTATTTTTGAATGAACTCTATCTAAATCTGTATATAATCTGTAGTATTAAAAACAAAACATATAAACATTTTTTTTTTATATATTTAAATCTTCATATAATCTGTAGTATTAAAAACAAAACAAATTAAAAAAGAACATTTTTGAAAATATTACAAAAATATTGTTTAAAATTAAAAAAATTAAAAAAAAATTTTTTTGAATCGGTTTTAATTTATGGGTGTCCACCATTTTGTGAAAATATTTTTATAGTATATATACGTTTATTTTCCTAATTTATATTTTTTTTGGCGTGGCTTTTTATTTAATAAATAAATAAAAAGAAAGTACATTTTAGAATTTAATGTACTTTAATAAACGATGATTTATGTTCAAAAATGTTGAATTCCTATAATTCCGTAGCCGATCACCAGGAGGACCGCCGAAAAAATGTCTGCTTAAAATTATTTCAAATCTAAATATCAAAAAATGTATTATGAAAATAGATGCATACAGATGATGATTAGAGTCTCTAAGGACTAGTTAAACTTTTTAATTTTGACAAAATGGTGGCGTCGCAAAAAAGGCATTTTTTGTAAAAGAATAATTACTATTCATTTGAAAAAAACATTAAATTTTTTATAGAAAAAATTTTTTTTTGAAAATAGGGCTTTTTTTGCTCGACAAAACCCATGTAATCCCTTAACTTAAAATTTTCGTAGAATTTTTTCAAATATATTGTAGTATAGGTACGTTCGATATACATATGTATGTCTAAGAAAAAAAATTTCGATGTTTTGAAATTCACAAGTGGTATAATCTCTTAAGTGAAGCATATGTATATGTATATACATACTTGTATGTACAAATTTAAGAAACAAAATTAATTATAAGAATTTAAATTTGTAGCACCTTTTCATACATACACCTTGTCATACATATATACATATATGACGTTTACATTCGGCCCTAAACGCCAAAAAGTCCTCACCATTATTAGCCTGCTTTTCCTTGGCTTTGTTGTTGGTGTTTTTTTTCAATCAGCTTTTTCGGTTTTTTACTGCTTCATGCTGCGACTGCCGCTTCGTGACAGCGCTCGTGTTTTTCCGATTATAAAATAGTTGGCAATTTTCTTCATATAAGGCATAAAAAAAAGTATTTATGTATATATATACATACATATATACACGGCTATGTGCATGCATGCGTGTGTGCGGTTGTTTTTATTTGTTTTATATATATATTGCCGAATTCGTTCGATTTGCTCGCTTGTTGTTCTTCGCCATTTTTATGGTTATTGTTCTTTTGATTTTAGCTTTTCTCCGGCACTTTTTTCTTGCGCGTAGTCAAAAAACACTGCAACGTCGGCTGCGCGTTCAGCGTCGACGGCAACAGCCAGCAATAGCTTCGGCTGCGTACGCTGCTCAGCCAAAGTTGACGACATTTCTGCCGTTGTCGAGTCGAGTCTTTAGTTTCCTCTTTGTGTGGGATTTCGTCTATTGTTTTGTGTCTGATCTACTTGTGTTTCAATTCCGTACGAGTATTTGCACTTGTGTTGTGCTTGTGTTGTTTGTATTGTTTCTGCTGCCACTGTAAGTGGGGACAATGTTATTCCTTGAGATGTTGCCTTGTACAGTGGGTAAAAATGTAAAAAAAATTAAAATTTCGTAATAAAATCAAGCAAAATGTTGCGCATTAAATATTTATCAGCCAGTCGGAGAAGTTATAAAATGTTTAGATATCGAAATTTTTCATTCGTTTTTTAAAAGTCCGCATTTTTTTTAACGTCTATTAAAAAAAATATATATATTGAGAAAGTAGTAGTAGTCAGTAGTTTAACCCTTGGCTATTTTCCTTATCCACCACTTTTTTAAAAAAAAGTGTTTTTCTTTAGAGCTGCGTATTGTGAGAGTTTGCGAGCTCACTTAAATCTAAGAGGGTATTCTAGTGTAGAATTTTAAAAAACTTTATTTCTTTTTTTCATATATTTAAAGTATTACGATTTAAGAACATGTCTACGAGAGGATTTTTGAAAATTTAAATTATTTTCGGAGATATAGACATTTTACTGGTTAACTGACCCGGCCTCCAAACTGGTTCGGCTGGGTCCAATCTAACAAAAGCCATAACGCGAAACTTTAAATGCGTTTTTCTCAGACCAGATTTTTTCAATACGAGTTCTAATGGACCGATTTACTTGAAATTTTAAGAGAATCTTCTTTATAGACCTCGCTTTGAACTAGCCTCATCCCCAAATTTCAATTTCAAATTATTTTTTAAATACGATAAAATAAAAAAAAAATCATTTTTTTTCAAACAGCCGCCATTTTCTTTATCCACTTAAAAAAAAATTTTAGAGCTCTGAATTTTTATTTCCTTCCTTTAGTTGTTTATAAATATTTCTAGGTTTTACAAAAAAGTTGTAAAAGAAAAAATTTAATTTTACAAAGTTATGCCTGAAGTTGAAAAAAAAGCGTAAATGCTCAATCAGTAAAACTTATAAACTGCAAAAACTATCTATGAAAATTGCCAGTTTTTGGCAATTTATGCTTAACCGATTTCATAAAGCACTACAAATTAGAAATTTTGAAATTCTATTGCTTCCCATCAGAAAATGCTATAAATATGTACCTATGTATGTATTTAGAGAAAATGCATGCCGAATTTTAAGTGAATCGGTTAACACTTAAGATTTTTTTGACCAACCCTTCGAAAAAAATTGCTTCGGCAAAAATGCGCGTCAATTATTAATATACTCATAGTCTATCTTAGTATTATATTCGTTTTAAATAAACCCACCGAGTTGCCGCGACAGCCAATGTCTAAAATTCGACACATAATTCGAATTCCGAAAAATTAGATTTTAGCAAATATTGCTGTATATTTAAATTATCGGAATAAAAAAAAAATTTTTTTAATTTCTAGACTAAATTAGGGTTGACCGCTAAAGTTTGTCTCTTGTAACATCTTGCAGTAGAGTCGAAGTTTTTTTGTATACCTAAACGCTCTTTGTAATACCAAAAATTAATAAATACAGGCATACTGTTATAAATATATACTAATAATATAATATAATATATATAACTGTATATACTTAATATAACGAGATAATTTGGATTTCTGTCTGTCCTGGATGGTAAACGCTGCTCCTATGCCGCTCGTCTATCTAAATATATATATATTCTAAAAATGTATATGTATGTTTATATATAATATAAACTGAACAAACAAAAATCATGTTCTTGCAAAAAAAAACTTTTTAATTCAGATTTTTAGATTATTGTTCGAGGCAACGTTACAATCGCCGAACAAATTGTTCCGATCGGACTACTATAGCATATAGCTGCCATACAAACTGACCGATCCAAAATCCAGTTCTTGTATTTAAACTTTTGTATTTGTGACGAGTATGCTAGCATCGGTGCTCACTTCTCAATTCTCAATATTAGAAGAACAACAGGCCACTGTACTTGCAATCGCTGTCAGCTGCTGACTGGATGCGTGCTCTAATCGCTTGTTGGTGCTTTTGTTTTTGTTAATGTGTGTGTTTTGGCTGTACGAGTATTCGTTGGCGGCGTCATCGACGTCGTAGTGGTTGTCGCTACGCTGACGCTGTCAATGGCGCGCTGTAGCTGTCGTTGTCGGTGTCGTAGTCGTCGTCATTGTCGTTGTCGTCGAGGAGCAGAAATCAAAAAGATTTCGAACGCAAACAGATGCAACGTGCCGCTCACAGCAACTGGTCGCACGTTTTCCCTTAGCGCGAATTATACACACTCGACATTCGTCACTCGACAAATTCAGTCGAAGAGACCGAACGAGTGTGCCACGTATTGTTGCCGCCTCGTCGCATTGGTCAAACGGTATTGTACGACGCTGCTAACGCTTAGCCGCATAGTCTCGAAGTAGCGGCCGTTGTATCGGAAGTGTGTTTAACGTGTTTCGTGGATTTCCGTTCTTACGCGACAACATTGGCTTGTGCTGTCACTTCGAAGCTTCGTGAATTTACAAGTCAACTAATTTGCGAGTTTGTGAATAATTTCGAGCAGTGCGTATGCCAAAAAAAAAAGCCGAGAAATTAAAAGTGTGAAAAAGTATTGCACCCATTTGTGTGGTGTTTGTGTGCGCGTATTACATTTTAGGCGCCCCGTCATCAGTGTGTCGGGCAATCTGTGTCACCTACCTAGAAGAGTGACGTTTGACGCACGGTCGTTGAAATTGTTGTCAAAAAAAAAAAAAAGCAAGCGCTACAGCGAAATCAATGCGTAAACATTGAGGTACTAAATCACATTAAGTTGCTCATCAAGATGTTAGATCCCTGCGAGCCAAGCAGTTGCCAACGGTGTACCGTTAAAAACGCAATTCATTAGTGCAACTACTTAAATCGTGTTGTATATGTGTGTGGGTGTACCCTTGTGTGTCCTCGTCGTTAAGCCTCGCTCAATAAACACAACGCTACAAGGACATAACTTTGTTCGTAGTAGTTCCGGCAGGCGCTTGGTTTGGGGAGTGCACCCAGCAAAGTGTTCTTGTTCATATGTGTAGCTGAACGCTTGTCGTTTATCAGCAGTCACTAAAGTGTACACTAATATAACTATTAGTGTACCGTTAGTGTTGTTTGTGGGCAGAGTTAGTAATTGTCGGTGTTTCTGCTATTTTATGCGTTTGTTGTGACACAAATGCAATGCGTCGTGCCGCCAATTGCCACAATTGTCATTAACATGTGGCAAGTGTTGCATGTGTGACATCGTAATTGAGGTTAATTAGTTTAAGTTGCGGCAGCCACAGGTGGATGCGTTCTTCATTTGGTTCTATATACATATGTAGGTACATAGAACATCGAAGGGCGTATATACAGATATATGTATATATATCTACATATGAATATATGTATATACACATATATTTATATATAGTATTATATATAGATATGTATAGTATATATACACTTGAGTATAATCACATATATACTTACATATATATATTTATATATATATGTTTTATGTATTTATATATGTATATATATCGTAAATACATATTTACCTATTAATAGCGCTGTTTGTATATGTGAGTTCATTGCGTGGTCCCTTTCGTAGCATTCCTCTACATTAGTTTATTGCTTGTCCTATTTGTATACCCTGAACAGGGTATATTAAGTTTACCCCGAAGTTTGTAGCATCCAGAAGGAAATATGGTCGACTCTTTACGGTATATGAATAAATGATTCACATGCTGAGTTGAGTCGATTTACCGCACGTTCGTCTGTATGTACGCGAACTGCCCTCAGTTTTTGAAATATCGAACTGAAATTTGCACCCGCTTTTTTAACTCCAAGAAGCTATTTATTAATCGGAATCAGAGCGCTATAGCATATAGCTGTCATACAAAATGATCAATCAAAACCAAGTCCTTGTAAGAAAAATTTTTTTTCTTGACAATATATCTTAACGAAATGCGGCACGAATTATTATCCAAGTCAATGCTATAATCTCCGATCAAATTGTTCAGATCGCACTACTATAGCATATAGCTGCCATATGAACTGATCGATCATTATCCAGTCGCTGTATGGAATAATTTTATTTTACTAGATATCTTCACGAAATTTGCCACGGATTTATGTCCACGGTAACGGTACAATCTCCGAACAAATGCTTTAGATCGAACCATTATAGCATAATCGTATAGCATAATCGTCATACCAACAGACCGAACGCAAGCAAGTAAAATATCTCTTAATGCCGCTTTACATTATAAGCAACGCACCTGTGTATGGTATTATAGCTTCGGTGCAGCCGAACTTAGCGTTGTTGTTTTTATTTGTTTTCGTACACATGTAAATCTACATAAAAGTCTTTAGTACATATTTACAAGCGCGCCGCAAACGGTACATGAGTGAGTGTCTCGTTGCAAGTAATTGGGCGCGTAAAATAGTCGCGATCGCTTGTCTACCGGTGAATTCGGGTCTATTTTTATGCTTTTTAATGCGTTTTGTTTTTGGGTTGTTGCTAGTTTTCGCATTTTTGTTGCATGGATTTTACGCAGTTCACAGCACAACGGCAATCTCACATTGAAAACGCGCATTTCATTAATTACACAAACGCACTTGACTAAATGGTATTTCGGTTTAAGATGATGGATTTCAATTTAATTGCACTTAACTGTAAGTGTCTTGAAAAATTATATGCTTCGGCTTATGCATATAAATAACGTTTAGTATAAAAAATATATACTTTTTGCCTAACATCAAATAAATTCATATATAATATATGAAAGTCGGTTTTCAGAAGATTCTTTGGAGACGAATTTTTCACCAGCAAAAACATGCGCCATAGACAGTAACAAGAAGCAATTTGTTGGGGCCAGCTCCGAGTTATAAGGTGGCTGCCTAAGAAACTTCAAATCAAGCTTTTGGCGAGTCACTAGCGAAGTGTGTGTCCTCGTTCTGCTCATAGAACACAATTCGCTGCTAGTGGTTAAAGCGCGTCGCTTCTGTGCAATTGATGATCGTATAGTTCCAAATTTAGAGTTCGGCCGTCGGGCAGCAGCTTATAGTTGACGATTCCCTGCTAATTCCACGAAATACAAAGCAAAACCTTCTTGACCGGTTTGTTCAAGCTCGCCTCACTTCATCACGGACTGTTTTCGCTTGATGTCGTCGTAAGTGACCCACTTTTTATCAACAGTAACCAGCCGCTTCAGAACTGATTTGATTTTGTTGCTATTCAGCAGCGCTTTGTGGTTGAAAATTCGGTTCATATGGCTCTTTTGCATTACCTCGTCCGGCACCCATATATCGAGCTTCGTTTTGTAGCCAGCCTTATTTAAATTACTCTAAATGGTTTATTCTGCAATTTAGCGCTTGGAAAACGAAACAGTGCTTATTTGAAGCTCGAATATTTCTATTATTTTATAGTAGCTGAGACATACTCGTACATATTTTTGCTTTTGGTGCATTATTTTGTTCCAAGATCCATAAATTATTTTCGAGCTGACAATCAAAATGAATGAGCTAGCTTTGACACCCTGGCTTTGACATTTCGTCGAGTCGGTACGCTAGTTGTTTTTCTGGGCCCCGCCGTTATTTGAATGAGTCTTTCGTTTTGAAGTCATAACGATTTTTTCTTTGATTTGTTGACAGTTTAGACCTATGTCACCACTATCGGTTTGGAACAAGTAACGATCATAGTTAAAAGCAGACGGTGCTCATCAACTATATTGAGCTTTTCCGGAAAAAAACTTCGCTGGCATATATACTCATGTTTTCATGCATTTCGTTAACGGCACTTCTTCCTCTTGGCATCTTTTCGGTCGCTTTTGTTAAGCTTTAGTTTTGACTTTTTGAACATTTATCGTATTTTTCGTAAAAAAATTTGTTCGCTTTAACTAAAAATACCCAAATTCTAAATACTTAATGTGCTGCCATTTTGCAAAACCTTCCCTTAAAATAATTAAAGTGAGCTTTGTGGTGGAAAGTTTTATGGAAAAACTAAAAAAATCCAGCATTCAAATTGTATCTTTTCCAACCAGCAATGTTTACTCTGCCATAATTGAAAGTCAGTTGTAATCGTGAAAAGCATTAAATATCCATGTAATTTAGACGTAAAATCCGCAACCTTCCACTCCACACTGCTTAATGCCGGGAAAACACAGCTTTATGCAATAATTCGCATTTAAAACTTTTTCAATAAAAATCTCTCAACTTATCTAATGGCATACAAAAAGTAAAAAAAAAAAAAAAAGCTAGACAAAGTAGGTAGTAAAAAAAAATTTACTCAAATCGCATCAAAACTGCGTGAAGCACATTACACTGCAAGCATTGTCATACACTAACATATATATCAGAAACTAGTAACCAGTAAGCTAATATATTTAGATACATATGTATATGTGTACATATACCCAGTAGCGTAAGCAACGCAGGCTACAGTATCTTTAGAATATGCGTTGAGTTGCTTCGCATTTGATGCTTAAAAATTGCTTAGTGTATTCCTTGCGCCAAACGCTAAAGTCTGCGGTGACTTATTAAAATCCAATAAATTTCATATTTGTATTTCGAGTTTATATGATTTTTTGGTATAATTAGTAACAGCAAAAAAATAATTTCTTATTAAGAAATTGAAGCTCGATAGTTGCAGCGCCAATTCGCTAATGTATTGTCCGTAAAGTGTAAATGCTTCAATATTTTGAGCTGAGATCAAATCAATTCGGTAGCTATCCTTTAACTGTTGCTCAAAGATTCTAATTGCTCGCTTCAAATTTGATAAACAGAACAGTGTTACATTAAATTTTTTGTTGCCTTTACACGTTCTAACTTTTTTGGTTCCAAAGTAAATGTTATGGAGTTGCGCTTTTCACGGAAATTCCGAGATAGTTCTCTATGAAAATGTGAAAATGAGTAGTGCATATTTTGTTGTGTGTAATATTAGTTCATTACTAGTGTGCTCTATTCAAAATATTTCTTAATGCTTTTCTGAATAATTCTACAAATGTTGACTAGCTACAATCGAGCGCTCCTTGTTTACAAATGAACATAACCACAACTTTTGAGCAGCTAAGTACTAATAACATACAGATAACATATTGAAAAGTTTAGAAAATGACTTTACGCTTAACGCTGAATTATTGGTTTAAAGATTATAACGCTAAATCTTGTTTATACTCGTTATTAGTTATGGACTTATTAATTAATTTTTTTTAAGATTTTCCAAAAACTCTTCAGTTCGTCTATCTACGTATATATACACGAAGCAGGCTCTCAGTTTTTCGGATATCGATCTAAAGTTTTGCACATGTTCTTTTTTCCTCAAGTAGCTGCTTATTTGTTAGAATTACGATTATCGGCTAACTATACATATAGCCACCATACAAACTGATTGATCAAAATGAAGTTTTTGTTTGAAAAACTTTTTCATTTACCTAGATATCTTCACGAAATTTGGCAGCGTTTATTATTCAATGCAATGCTACAATGCTCGAAAAAATTGTTCAGATCGGTGCAATATAGCATATAGCTGCCATACAAACTGGCCGATCAAACACAAATTCTTCTATGGAAACTTTTTTATTGTATTTGTAGAGATTATTATAGTTTCGGTGCAACCGATGTTAACGGTTTTTCTTGTTTTTAATTTTATCTGACTCAAGTACTCCTTTCGCTTGTTACTTGCCAAATTATCTGATTTCTTCTACTGTAAAGCATATCAGCAATTCTATAGCATAGAAAGCATGCGGGTTGCCATGCAACGCAACTAGTTGACGACTGGTGATTACTACACGTACGATTACTACAGGTTTTGCTTATCTAGACGCTAATGTGAAAGCACGCTTGTATATATGTATGTAACTGTGTTTTAGCAACCATTTGGCAAATAACTTTTTGCGGCGATTTGAAAAGAAAACCCTCAAATTTAACGCATCAGCAACGGCATTGCACCATTAAAAAATTTCGGTAATTTCCATTATCAATTACAGCTGCACATGCACACACGCTCGTGCACCAGTGCATGCATACGTATGAATAGAAAAGTATTTCTATGTGTGTGTATGAATGTGTATTTAGCTTGCGGAAACGCTAAAAGCCAAAAGCGGATACAACTTTTTCACGAATTGGACTTTTTGAAAAAGTTTCTGGCAGCATTGACGCAAAAACGAGCAGCAAGTAGCGTGCAGCTGTTCTAGGTGCCGGGGCTGCGCCGCGGCGGCGAGACAAAAAAGTGACTGAGTGTTGCAAGTGTGCTGCTAGCGAATGCATGTTCGACGTTTCAATTGTTGGTTTGCGCGGTGGAAGCCAGCCATGAACCCCGTTTTGCCGGGTACATGTGTGACATATATGCATATGCATGCATGTAAGTGTATGTGTGCTGTTGGAAACATGTGTGCGGTTACCAAATTACATCTATTGCAAGCATGCATTGAGCGGTGAACTGGCCGCACATGCCCCAAGGCGCAAAGCATTGCTACACTTGGGGTCGAAGTATGGGCGGACGGGCAGGCAGGTGGCTTCAGCGTTGGGAATTTGCAGGCAGCCATCAACATGCTTGCCTTAGGAGCAAGGAACGTTGGCAAAGGAATCAGAGCAGATGCTGCAAGTATGCAAGTATGCTGCAACTGTTGGCTTCGTGTCAGCCATAGTGATAAGTTCAGCTCGAAGGGGTTAAAGGGTTGATGGATTGTGCTGAACAAATAACAGTAATGTACTTAAAATGGTTCTGTTTGTTGATGCTTTGCACTCACTTATGCCGTTATGCATTTTTCGCAGTCGCGTATTTGAAGCATTTATTTAGTTTGGACTGGAATTTGATACCTCAGTTTACTTTAATTCTAACTAATATGAAACGGTTTATGCATTGTACAGTTTTTAAGCTCTCGCAACATCGTTGTTACTGTAGCGTCATATATATCGAAGTGAAAAAGACGATGCGACGTGTGGAATTTCAGATATCTGTCTATTCGTCCGTCCGTACGATAGCTGGCGAATAAAATTTATATATATTGTTGATCATGCTGAAGTTCCTTGGCATTCGGTGGAGGCTGGGCGAAATCGGACCATTGCCACGCCCACAAATGCCCTTAAGTGAAAACTTATAAAGTGCCACTTAAAAGGTTTAATGTACACATCTCACAAACCTCTACGGGTATAACAACTAAACTATCTAAGATCAAGTCAAGTGTAGTGAAAATGGCTGAAATCCGAAGATAACCACGCCCACCCGGGGTGGTATAAAATTATACATAGAACGTGGTACTTCCCATGTAACACATTTTTAAATTCCATCTGATTTTTTTTTTTAATTTACAGTGTATTTCGCATTATCGACATGAACATAATTTCTAAAGTCACAGTTACCGAAAATAATCACCTCAGTGTTTATGTTTAAATTTTTGTCGAAAATATTAGTCAAAATATGAGCGATAATGAAATTTATTTTTTATATATATTTTTTACATATTTTCTTGCTACAGCAATAGTGTCACTACTTACCGTAGCCGCCATTTGCCTAACATACAGGTTTTCACACTTTCGGTGGACATTATACCATAGATATCATGAACTTGTTCACATGTCATAGCAGAATAATGTGCATAATTAATTATATTATCGAATTGTGGTTCCCAATATGTTCGATATATTTATTTATGACTTTTTAGCAGCATTTCAAACGTTCACATAAGTGCCTTTGACGCTGCCGCTTCTCAGAAACAATTGATCACTTTTTTCTTAGTTTGGCTTAGGTTACATTGGCTGCCTGTCACGTCAATTATAGACTGACAGGTTCTTTGTAATACCAGATGAAGGTTCATTAATAACACGAGCTAAAGTTTATGTCGAAGTTCTTTTGTGCCGCGTTTTTATGGAATGAATGAATATGGGAGATCGTCGAACTCCTTTCCGCACTTTCTAATTTTGATACTTTATCCAGTACCTTCAACTGCGAAGTTTCTAGTTATCTAAGCTGAGTTCTAGTAAAGGCCGAATATAAGCAGCGGAGTTGCTTTAGCATCTCTCTCATGCCTACTTTACTGCACTTTCTACATATGTCATCCCTAATAATACCCATACGGTTCGCATTTGATGCCAGTAAGCTGTGAGCTCTGACAAGACCAAAAGCCATACTGCAGTCTTTTCAGAAATTTTATTGCGTTTCGTTTTTAGCGACTTACGTATTTCTTAAACTAATTCGGTAGTCTAACAGATCGCACTTATGACAATCTCATTAGCCATTTCGTTTCACGGAATGCCCTTGTGGACTGGAACACAGTATACACCGCTTTCCGGTAGCCACAATATCCACTGCCTCCCTGCTTCTAAGGACATTCTCTGACGCTATACATTGTGAGTTTATTGCTTTATGTGCCGCCTGGCTATCGATGTATATATTGGTAGTCTTTATGTTAATTAATTTCTAATTAATATCCAATATTTGATGGAAAAGTAGTGAATTAACTGCAAGAAAAGCTTTTCAAGTAAAGCTTAATGCACTTAAAATTTTTTGAAGCGTAAAACTCTACGCAGCGTTGCGTTGCCAGATTGAGAGTTTCTATGACAATTAATAGCATTATTTTTTCAACTTTGTTTTTTTGTTCGAAAACATTAATTTTCTAATAGTCCAAGAGCAAGCCATTGCCATCAAGCAATCAAGTATATCGAGTTTACCAAAAGCACTCGTACTGAACCGAAAATAGATTTCGCTCTAAAGTCGACTTAATTAATTCAAATCGAATTTCAAACTAAATTTGCGCGATTTGTGAAAGCCACAATTGTTGTACCGCCCACGTACACTGCTGGCTGCCACTTTCGTTCCAAATTATTGTAGCGCTCACTAAAACTACCCTCTACTTTTCGAGGTTTTTCGAGTTGTGCCAATTAAAACGCAAAAGGGCCAATTAAATATTTCGAGCGCAATTCGTATTCGGACGGCCAATTTGCATGCGAAGCCAATTAGTTAATCTAACAATTCGGGGAATTATCAACAGTCGTACACTTTTTAGAAAAAGACCAAAAAAAAAAAAACAAAAAAGTTCGAAAATGCTGCAAAGCTTAATTTTACAAGGCGCTAAGGCGAAACAAAGGGCATTGTAAAAATGCACTCTGATTTCGCTGACAAGCTGCAATTCATCTGCGACAAAGCGAGATGTTAACAACTGGACAATGTCAGCATTTGACAGCTGTCCAATCAATTGTTGGCAATTAAAAGCGATTGGCAAACGCAAAGACACACACACACACACGCGCACACATATAATGACACCACTGCGAATGTGTGTCGGTATCGGGTCATCTAATTGTTGGCAAATGCTGGGCTTTGAAATTGGCTTGACTAATCCTGCAGCTAGCTTCACTTTCTATTTGTTGCTGTGTGTAAAACAATTCGGGTCGTACGAGCAGTGCGCCTAAATGCAATTTTACTAATTCACAAAGCGCATAAATTACACTTGCCAACGAAGCGTTGCAACTTATTTGCACTTTCGCACCGAAATTACGAAGGTCGTACACGTTGAAAATGCTGTTGCCAGGCAGCGGAATTAGCTGCACGCCGCCGCTTACAATGGTGCGCCTGCCGTTGCTCTTGCTCTTTGTTGGTGCGGCATTTGCAGCGCGTTTTGTTGGCGCGGAAATCGCTTCAGCCACGGACGATACGGCTCGTATGTTCGCTAATAGTTTGACGAGGCGCGTGTTTAGCACCGACAGCGGCGGCAATGGCTGTTCTGCACGCAAATTTCAATCGATGGCCAAAGCTATCGATGACGTCGAGGATCTGGTATTGGATGTACCGGTTAATATCGCTTTTGACAATCATCAGAAGAAGAGGTAAGTGTAAGCACAAAAAAGTAAATATAACTTAGAAGTGATATATTATTATATTATACAGAATATATACTCGTATGTTGTATGTATATTATTAGCTTACTGGATATGTACAATAAATCACTGGAGATGTTATATTCGCTCGCAACATCTTGCACGGCGTGTAATAATTCTGTTCAGCCACGGTTTTTCTACAAATACTTTAGAAAAAGAAATCCATTATTTTTGCATTAAGATGCAGGTAATTTCAAAATGCCACTCACATAGCAACCCTCGTGCTTATTGGCAAAAAAAAATTGGAACAGACGATTTTCGCAAAGTGCTCTTGAGGCTAATTTTTATCAGCAAACTCATTCGCCATGGATTGGAATAGTTAGTAATCACTTGGCGCCAGGTTCGGACTATAAAGTAGATGCATAAGAACCGCCAAATAAAGCTCCTTGAGCTACTGTCAGGGTTTTGTGCAATGCTTAGCTTCGAAGCAATCGAAACAGTGCTTACGTGACTGTCTAACTCGACAGTCTGTGCGCCTTTACTCTTCATACGACCGCGATTACTTTAAAAGTACAGAGCTACTACTAAATCCTCAAGTTCGCAGCTCCTGGTGAATAGACAAAGACACGTTGTTGGCAACATACCAGACACTGATGCACTGATAGGGTCGCTTAGATGTAGTGAAACGCAGACGAAGACGCTTCAGACATGTCAAAATACAGCAAACTGAACGATTACAGTATGCCTCGTGACAACTTCTGTTACTTACATAGCGAGGCTCGCATATGTTTTCTGTACCTTTGACAACCAACCAGCACCTTTACACCCAAGCGAGGACTAGTTAACCGCGCCTTGAGTCCATTGACCCAAGATATAAAAGTGACCGGATAAACCTTTCACGCCGTAAACAAACAACTATCATACACGCACTAATTGCTCTATGGAGCTCAAACTTCACACGAACATAAAAAAAGTTTGTACCAATCAAGAAAAAAAAATTTATTTACTCGGTTTGCGTCCGCAGTAAAATGGAAGCGGTCCGGTTCAAATAAGATCTTCAGTGTATATTATCAAATTGTGGCCTACTTTTACTTTCTTCAAATATTTTTCATTTCGCTTGAGTTTTGAACCATATAGTTATGCAATAAATTAAACTTTTTGCCTTTAAATCACACATTTAGCTAGTGTTGCCTCATGTGAACAGCGCAGTGCCCCAATAAGTAGTATGTTGTAGTAAAAACTTTCGGTAGTAAAAACTTTTACCGCAACCTGAAACCGAAACTAATAATTTCTGCAATGTGAAACATAAATCGAGCACTTTGCCGCTTATTTTGGCCATTCTTTGTTTTGACACATACAACAACAACATGCTATGCCATATTTAGAAATTCTAGACGCACATGTGAGCACGTAATGCGGATGCATTGCATTGGAAGCAGAAAGTATGGCACTACCTACTTATTTACAGTTACAAATTCTGGCAGTTGCTCCAGCTGTGCCGCCGCGGCTGACATTAGAAGCAATTGTATTGGAAAAATGGTCGAGAAACGTGAGTCAACAAACAGCACAGAAAAAGTGCGACAAGAAGTTAGCAGGGCAAAATTGCAAAAATATAAATTAGAAAGTTGCAGTTGAGGTTATAGTCTAACTTCCATTTCTTATGACTAGATATCTTAGTAGTTTTAACTCTTACTTCTTCTAATAACTTACTGTGCTTAAGTTTTTTTGACTACTTACCGATGCAAACAGGGTTAGATCGCGAAAAAATAACAGCGCTTGAGGGGAGAAAAACAGAGTCGTTTCCGTTAACGCATAACCGGCTGTTTTGGGTGCTACTTAAGTTTTTATCGGGGATATCGCTGCACGATCTTTGTTGCTTTGCTGCATAGCCGCTTGTTCGGTTCGTTCCTTCTTGTAGACTTGTCTGCGCCGTATTCTCAAATTAGATACCGACTCCAAACGGTAAATATATTTTAAGCGAAGGTTTTTTTATACCCTATATCGTATATATTGTTTTCTTGTATCCCATATGTATACATGTTAAGTTTGCCACGAAGTTTTTATATAAATGATCAGCAGAACGAGCTGAGTCGATTTAGCCACGTCGGTGAGCGAGCTAGTCCCTCAGTTTTGGAGATATCGATCTGAAATGTTGCACGCGTTCTTTGCTGCCCAAGATGCCGCCGATATTGGACTACTATAGCATATAGCTGCCATACAAACTGTTCGATCGGAGTAAAGTGGTCAGCCAGGGTGCAATCTCCGCAGAAATGGTTTAGATCGTATCACTATAGCATATAGTTGCCATATAAACTGACCGATTAAAATGAGGCCCTTGTGTGGAAAGCTTTTTTATTTGACGAGATATCTTTACGAAACTTTGCATGGGTTGTTGTCTAAGGTAACGGTATAACCTCAAATTTTGTTTAAATCGGTCTACTATAGCATCTAGCTGCCATACAAACTTAAAGTTCAAAATCAAGTTCTTGTAAAGAATCTTTTGTATTTATGAAGCGTATTATACAATAGCTTCGTTGCAGCTTGTTTTGTTCACAAAATTATTCTATAAGTATAAAACCATTAATTTTATAACTAACAAGCGCTTTCAGCATTTAATATAGAACTTAAATTGCATTTAATTTGGTGCCAAAGTAAACTTGAAGCGTCACTTTTTACACTTCCCTGTCACTCAACCATTTTGAAACACGCTTCACCGCCGCATGCGCCTACCCATTATTAGCTGTCAAATTTCTGTCACCCTGCCGACAACAGTATTAACGGTTTTGTGTCGTTGTTTGACTGTCTAGCGCCTTTCTCGCAATTACACTGACATTATCTCCAACTGTCAAAATGTTTACGACAATGACACCTCAAAATCCTGCTCCTACCGTTGTAAATTTGAACCCAGCGCAAGTTTTTTTTTTTGTTTTTTGTGGCTTCAAATTGGTTTTACTGTCAGCGGCGCACGTAATCTTGGGTCATCAACCGCCACCTTTTCCACACTTAACATTTTTGTGCTTTTATTGCAAATACATTGTCTGTGCTACACTTCTACGAAGCTTGTTCGTCTCGTGTGCGGCAATTTCGGCGCTGGTTTTATGCTGCCGAGCATACGCACACACACACACACAAACAATCGGAAGCGCCAATGACAAATAATCTTTTATGATCTTTCCGGTACGTGTGAACATTTTCCTATTTCATGCGTTCTATCTTTTTACTGCGTGTTTGCTTTTCCAATACGATGATTTTATGAAATGTCGATATGGTTATAGCGCCGGGTAATAATAGCAAAAGTGTAATAATAAAAAGTGTCAAATGTTAATCATAAAAGAATTTACGAGTGCGACGAGATAAAAGTGGAACCAGTGTAATATATATGTACTTATGTATGTGATCAAAATGTAAGGTGAGATGATTATCGTGATGTGGTGCAGTATGAATTCCTACCCTTGAACCCAACGCTCAATAAAGAATATTATTTCATACGACGCATAACGTTTGCGTCAAATCCAGGGAGATGTACAAAAAATGGTGTCTGGCGGTGAGGAAGACTCAACATTATTTCAAAAAACAAAACTGCTAAAAATTCTAAAAATATTTTTTTTTTTCATATAGAGGTAGACAATATAAGGCAATTAGTTATTTAAGCAATTAGTTAATTGGCTCAATTATTAATTTTCAATAAATTGATATAAAATTCTCCAAGTAAGTCTGTAAAAACATACTATATTTTAGTTAACCTCTTAATTGAGGCAATTAGTTATTTAAGCAATTAGTTAATTGGCTCAATTATTAATTGACAATAAATTAATATAAAATTCTCCAAGTAAGTCTGTAAAAATATACTATATTTTAGTTAACCTCTTAATTGACTCAGCTAATTGACCTATCTGAACTGTCTCAGCTAATTGTACTAACTATTATTAGCATAAACCCTTGGACTAGCAAATTAACTAGTGTGAAATTTGCTCAGTACTATAAATGCTAATATCTAGTTGCCACCTACATGTAAAAATAAATTAACAATAATGCCACAAAATCAAATTAAATTTAGGCAAGCATAATTTAGCTCAAGGTTGGCCTAAACTATACGATTAGTTATTAATACTATTAGTGGAGATCGAGCAGGGAATGCACTGCTGATGTGTCAGACACTAATTCACTCGGCTATAAGCATTTGTCAAAAACAAAAGCAAAAAAAAACATAACAAAAAAATCATTATAAAATAGCATCAATTACAAGAATGATAAATTTCGGCGATTTAATTGAAACAATATTTCATTTTTGCCGCCCACAAATCGCGAGTCATTGTCAAATTGCTTATACGCTGCTCATCAAAATATTAAAATTTTACATTAATTGCTGTACGAGCCATTTGGCCAACTCGCCATGACGAATCAACATTTTTGTGCCTTTACTGTGCACCAGACCAAAAGAATCGATTCAGGCGCCCAAACTAAAAACGTGTCAAGAAAACCAGGCGCAAATCTATTTTCGTGACAACAACGAATTTACAACCTAACCGAAATAATTTGCGAATAAAATCCTGTGCACTACAACATACAACGGTGTATGTGTGTGCATTGACATTCTAGCGAATCGAACTAGTCAATCCGACACTGCACAGTGAAGCAAGTGGTATATTTTGCCTTCAAAATATTTCTAATTTTTATTTTTATTTGTTAAATGCAAAACAGTGTAAAGAGAGAGGTATATAAAGTTAGAGAATGCATAAAAAATGAAGTTGTTTATGCTGACTAGGAGGAAGTACTTAATTTTCTTCTGCTTCTTCTGGGTAGTTACCCAGAGGTTTAGTTACCAAGCCAATTGTTGTTTTAGTAATTCAAAAAGCTACTTTTATTAATTTCAGCAAATAACTTTTGGTTTGAAAGGGAGTACCAACCAAAAAAAAAAAAAAAAAAGTAAGTAAGGGTTGAGTTGCTCTCATACTTTGTGAGGCTCAAAGGTGGTGTTATATTATATTTTCAGGTGTTGATAAGATCTT